AGTTGATTAACATTTCAGCTAAAGAGTAGCAATAAACTCAGGCAGCAATTTACATATTAACACAGATTGTACGACCTGAATTGTAGAAACGATGAACGGTTTCTCTCGCATCATTGGCCTTTTAGTCTTCAAACTGGTCTATTGCCCTCTCTCTTGTCTTTTATTTGCTATTGTTTCTGGATATCAGGTCTCTGCACAGAGACCAAGTCAGGTTTTCTCTTTTCACAGTTTACAGCAGCTGCAGTTCTTTCAGGCTTTCTCTTTTACCTGGCTCCAGTCCAATTAACTCTTCCTTTACGCAAGTGATCTTCAGCTCAGGATGCTTTCGTCAAGCAAGCTTGAGGGTATAACACCATTGCACAATGTTGTCCGCATTTTAAATCTTATCTCAAGGCTCCAAGGTTTTATCTCTGGGGGTGCCTTGACATTCCTATCTCTATGTTCACATGCACAAGTAATTCCCATAGACACCATCAAGGTCCCAGTCTTTTGCTGCAAGTAAGCTCTTTCGTAAGACTTGACATAATTTTCCCATGATTCCACCACATTGGGAACTTGTCTACACCGTGACTTGCTCCTGTGTCATCCCAATTTACTACATTGTACTGCCGAGATAAGTTGCTCATAAAGTTAAATGTAAATTTGTATCAGTAATGTTAGATTTCAGCAATTCAGTATTCTGGCTGGTAACTTATTAAACTTGCAGAATTGTCTGTTGCATGTTGACTCTATTCAGAAATCAGCACGTACCAGGTAACTCATAGATTCGAGGCTGTCACAGACACAGTGAATGGAGGGGTTGATAATACTGATCAAATTAGTTTTATCAGACCATGTGAAGCTGGCTTGAAGTATGACAGTCATAGTATAGGATGGAATCATATCAAGCTGTACCTCTGAGACTCAAGCAGAGCACAAATAGTGCTTTAAAGATCAGCTACGTTAAGAAATTGGTGTCATTTGACAAAGTCATGTCTCTGGACAAAGACACTGAATTATTGTTCTATGTTCTTGTGTGTGAATCAAAGAAAACTGGTGTGTAGATGAAGCAAGGTAATAAGGAAGGCAAATGGAATTTTGACATTTACTGCTAATGGAATAGAGTGTAGAAGTAGGAAAGTGTTGGTGCAACTATGCAAGGCATTAGTGAGACCATACCTGGGGTATTGTGTACAGTTTTGGTCCCCTTATTTGAGGAGGGTGAGATTTGTGACAGAATTGGACGAAAAATCTGCCAAAGCCTATCTCAGCATCAGGAGTAGCTTGCTGCATCTTTGATACATTGTTCGAGTGGTGAGGTGAGGTTTCTTGCTCAGCAGCACCAAGTTCCCAATCGAGTGGGATTATTGCTTGCTAAACGCCTTATTAATGCTGCAGCTCACCTCATTAATATTCAGCTTCCTACTTTACTGAACAAGCTGGGCATCAGGAATGGGAGTCAATAGTGGTGACATCAGCTTGCCACATGCTCCAAAGGAGCTCCATGTTAGACACAGGGACCAACTTCTCAGGGCACATTCCATGGACACCTTACTTGAGGAGGGATGTAATTCTGTTAGAGGCAGTTCACAGGACGTTCATGAGATTGATTCCAAAGACGAAGGGTTTGTCTTATGAAGAGAGATTGAGCAACTTAGGCCTAACCTCTGGAGTTTAGAAAAATGAGAAGCGATCGAATTGATGTCTAGATGATTGCTCAAGGGGATTGGCAAAGTAGACAGAGAGAGGATGTTTCCTCACGTTGGGCAATCTAGAATGAGAAATCACAGTTTTAGAACAAGTGGCAGCAGATTTAAAACTGAGATGAGGAGAACTTGCTTCTCTCAGAGGACAGTGAATCTGTGGAATTCAGTACCCCAGAGTGTAGTGGATGCTGGGACAGTGAGTAAACATAAGGAGGGAAGTACACAGATTTTTAATGAGTAGAGTGTTGAAAGGTTATGGGGTACAGACAGGAAAGTGGAGTTGAGGCTAAGAGATTAGCTAAGATTGTATTGAATGGTGGAGCAGCCTTAAGGAGCTGAATGGCCTACTCGTGCTCCTACTTCTCATGTTCATATGAATGGAAAATACAGCCTGTTATTCTGAAAAAAATCACCCCATCACCTTTCAATTTGTATTGGAAGGAAATGTGAGAAAAGGTTTGAGAAGGCACGATCAGACTTCCTCTTCATTGAAGCTAGATCAGTGCATGTGGGAGAGCTGCATCTGTGTTAAGCGTATAGAATCTTTTCAGTTACATAACGCATCTTTATTCACCATGTGCAGGTGGTTTTGAGTCTGAAAATCATTGTTTACAATTAGTCAGGGAAGGAATGAAATTGGCAAAAAAAGAGATGGGTGTAGGAAACTGTAAAGATGATCGTTTAATATAGAGTGAGTGCCAGGTTCAGCAAAGAAAAATATGGAACAGACATCAGTTTTAAAGTAACAAGTGTATTTTATTTTGCTTGGAGAATCATACGTTATTTAAAACACCAGAAACCAATCATTTGACCCATTAAATTGTCACAGAATACAAAAGGTTTAGAAGGATATGGGCCAAACACAGGCAAATGAAATTAGTTTAGTTTGGGAAACTTGGTCAGCATGGACGGGTTGGACTGAAGTGTCTGTTTCCATGCTGTATCACACTATCACTCTATAAATAATTAAGGAAGAATGTGATTTATTTCACCAATTTATACATTCTCCTTGGATCTAATTGTTAGTGAAATTGGAGCGTGGTAGTAGTGTTTCCATTTGGGTACAGTTGGCAGTTTGGACACAAATTAAGATGAAACTCATTTGAGTATTGGTGATTCGGTGAAATCTGACAAGACCCTGTTCAATCAGGCAGCATTTGGAAGCCTTTTTTAAAAATTTGCCTCAGACGTACAGTAGAGGTGGCACTGTGGTGTAGTTTGTCTTCTGCAGCAGAGAAAAGGATCGGACATTTTTCATCCCATTGTTAATCCACTGTCTGTGAGTGACCCAAGTTTCAATGGTTCAAAACAACTTATAACACCTGCTCAGAATCATTTGCTGGTAATATTGGGATACAATACTCAGTGCTTTAGCAAATAGAATTCAATTATGTCTCACGTGCTCCGAAAGGGCCAAGTTAACCTGAGAGAGGCGACGGTTGCACTGAGCTGGCGTGAAAGAGAAGTTGAGATATGGGGCAGATCAGCACAGCCTTCATCATAGGATCCCTACAGTGTGGGAGCAGGCCATTCGTCTCATCAAGTCCACACTGACCCTCCGAATAGCATCCCACACAGACCTACACCCCTATCCCATCCCTGCGTCCCTGCATTTCCCATGGCTAATCCACCCAACCTACACATCCCTGGATACTATGGGCAACTTCAAATGGCCAATCCACCTAACCTGTGCATCTTCGGACTGTGGGATGAAACTGAAGCACCCAGAGGAAACCCATGCAGACACAGGGACAATGTCCAAACTCCACACAGTCGCCTGAGGCTGGAATCAAACCTAGGTCCCTGGTGTTCTGAGGCAGCAATGCTAACTACTGAGCCACTGTGCCACCCCAACGAATGATAAGGCAGTACTTGGCCTTTTGCTGCTCCCATTTACTAAGTTCTTACGTTATTAATTTTTTAGTGGCTCCTGTAAGTTCTGCCATTAAGATTGGTGATGAATTTCCGATGGTATCCAGGAGGTTGGGCAGAGGCAGATTGATGGGTGGGGGCAGCCTTCAGCCTGGTGGCTCTTTTGCAAACTGGAACAGAAGAACGCACAAACGTGACCTGTCCTGAATGTAATTTGTGAATGAAACTCCATGACATTTTTCATAACTTGCATTAAGAGTCAGGGAATTGTACTGAGATGAGCAATGCAAATAAGGGGGAGCTATGCCCCATCGGCTTCTTAAAAGTTTATCTAAAAACTCACCCTGTGCAAAATAATGGAGTAATTCTTTTCCTTCTGTTAGCTGGTCTTTTTTTTTGTTCTTTTCATTTTATTTCTGTACCAGTTTTTTTTAATGTTGCCTCTTGCTCTGATCAGAGGACTTGTTCTCCCATGGACAGATGTCATGATATTTCATAAGTTCACCTGGCTCATGCTGTAGGACAGCACAGATCACTGATACCAATCACTTGTCTAATTCCCCTACTGGGCACATCTCCAGCCTACAAACATATGACTCTAGCTAGGTAGACATTTATCCCAATTGGCCCCTAACCCAACCCTAATTGACTGCATCACAAGTTAACCTTGTAGATTTGAGCAGTTTGCTTTTCAGAAGGCAGTCAAGAGTCAACCGTGTTGGCGTAGATTGGAGTCACACGTAGCCCAGAGCAGCTAAGTGCAACAGGTTTCCTTCCAGAAAGGAGATTAGGACTATAGTTGTTTTCTGACAGCTTTCTTGGTCACCTTTATTGACCAGCTCTTTATTACCACTTTCTCTTTCTAAATAATAATAACAAGGAGAGGGTGGATAGGCTGGGACATTTTTCCCCTGGAGCTTTGGAGTTTGAGGGGTCATTTTATAGAGGTTTATAAAATCCTGAGGGGCATAGAAAAGGTGAATGGCCAAGGTCCTTTCCCTAGGGTGGAGCATTTCAAGGCTAGGGGGCATATTTTTTAAGGTGACAGGAGAAAGTTTTATAAAAGACATAAGGGGCAACTTTTCTTTACACAGAGAGTGGTTCATATGTGGAATGAACTTCCAGAGGAGGTGGTGGATGTGGGTACAGTTCCAACATTTAAAAGACGTTTGAATAAGTACATGAATAAGAAATGTCTGGAGGGATTTGGGCCAAGTGCAGGCAGGTGGGACTAGTTTAGTTCGGGATTATGGTCAGCATGGACTGGTTGGACTGAAGCGTCGGTTTCTGTGCTCAATGACTCTAAACTGAAATAAATCCTCACAATGTTACAGTGGATTTTAAACTCATGTCTTCTATTAAACCAGGTTTTGGGATTGCTAGCCCAGTAATACAAAAGCTGTAACTACACAGTACAAATGTCTGTGTTTCTTCCCCCCACAGATCGAAGATTTGTTGGACCTAGGTCAAAATTGGTCGATTTTATGAGCAACAAGTGTGAAATGAATGTGTCCAATGAGACGATGCTAACGCCCTTAATAGAGCAGGAAGGCGAGGCCTACTTAGAGAAGTGTGGAAGCATCCGACGTCACACAGTGGCCAATGCACCCTCTGAGCTTCAGCTTTTGGCTATGACCTCCATGTTGCATCCTGGAATGGTGGAAGAACCGGACACTGAAGAGGAATGTATTCTGATGCCAGCTGGTCACAGACAGTATTGCAGTGAGCCAAACATCCCAGAACCTCAGACTGAGGTGATGGGAGTCTCACTGCAAGAGTCTTCAGACATTAAGTGTACAGCACTTGGCTAGACCACACAGCCACTGCTTTGTTTATCAGCACATTGTTAGTATTCACAGAAGGGAGGAATCCCACTGACTGACTCAAGTCCTATCACAGAGGGTCAAGAGATGAAATGACCCTGAGCTGGTTATGTGTGTTGGACTGCACTTCTGACCCAGGTCCTTTCTGTTATCATCTGAACATACCTCAGAAATCGCAGCACAGAAAGGATGTTAACATGTGGGGACTGGTTACAGATGCCCCGGTAAAATTAAAGTTTAAAAGATGAGACTAGCAGTAAGTTTGCACTAAAAATATCTAATGATTGAGACAAGTTCTGAACATTGATGCCTGAGATTGCACTATACCTGTCTCATTGTTTAAATACTGCCTATCGATCTTGTCTCTCCCAGCAATCCAGTGGTTTTAAGTCACACTGTTGACCTGAAATGTCATACTTCTTTTCACCATCAAATCTGCCTCTTGCAGATAGCTTGACAGAAGTGATTTTCATGTTTTCATAATCAGTGTGAACTCCATAACCTTGGGGGAAAGCTTCCTTTATGCACTGTTTTATTCCTCAGTCTTTTTGATGAGATTTTGATTATTCGTTTACATATAGTACCCTGAGGAAATTAGGAGCTGTGCCAACCATTCCAGTGTGTCACAAACACTTTGCAATACACATTAGTAATGAAGGGACCAGGTTAAATATGGAACTTGGAGAGTACTGGCAATACTGGAATAATTCCTAAACTGCAAGCTCTTTAAAATTGGCTCACTTCACCTCACAGCCATCATTGGTTGTATTTAACTTCGAACACATTGATCGACTGCTCTGCTACTTCCGCCACAGATGCTTTCTTCAAATGTAATTTCAGGTTTCCTTTTATGTTTTTTTTACAAATAAACTGTGGGTTTTTTGTGTGTGTGTGTGTATGTGTGTGTGTTTGTGTGTGTGAACATTCATTCATCTGTCACCTCCCCGCAGACACAGGAAACTAAAACTCTCAAAAGAGAGAGGGCCCCACCACCACAGTGCAAGGTAAATTAAGGGGATTGGAAAAACAATGATATAAGTTAGCAGCAACTCACCACCACAAACTGTGCAGTGCAGACAGTAAGAAGATCACTACCTGCTCACCTCTTCAGCCCACACAGTGCAACTGGTGAGAAGACTCGATTTGGATAGACAAATGCAAACTGACAGTGAATGGAACAGATTTTCAGTCAACAAGGGATGAAGGGATATGGGTGGGCATAGGAGGGAAAGTGGGGTCGAGGCCATAGTCAGATCAGCCATGATGCTAATAAATGGCCAGCAGGCTCGAGGGACTGAATTACCTGCTTTTACTCTAATTTCCCATTCTTACTGGGGTAGCTGAAGGAGTATTGAGGGCAAATGAGCTTCCATTTCATGGGACATGGGGACAGTAAATAATCATAACACTGGGATGAAGCAGACTAGGGCCAAGGTCCCATTGGAAAGGAGCGCGATCATAACAACATTTTGGATTTATACGGTGTAATAAAACACTCAAAGGCACATCACAGGACGTCATAAAACTGAGTATCACACTGAGCCATAAAAGGAGACTTTAGGGCAGATGATAAAAAGATTGGTCAAGCTAACATTTAAGGAGTGTCTTAAAGGAGAAAAATGAGGGTTGGGAAGAGATTTCCAAAACTTAGGGCCTAGGGAGCTATAAGCTCAGCTGGCAGTGCCATGGTAATTGGTAATGCACAAAAGGCCAGAGTTAGAGAACGCAAGGAATTTAAACTACTAATGGCAGGGAGCAAGGGTAGATAGCCTCAATTGGAAAGGGCACCTGGCTAAACATTTGAGAAGAAATGGAAGGGAAGAAGATAAAGTAACCATTAGAGATTATGCTTTAGACACCAAAGGTAAAGGGAGAACTGAAAGATGTATATTAACCAGGAGCGAGCAAAAGAAACTTGTGAATTAAACAGGAGAATTGAAGGACAGATTAATGTGCGGTCCAAATGTAGCGTTCTTTTTACAAATGGTCAGAGTTTAAGGTACCAATTGAATGAATTGCAGATATAAATTCAACTCGGAGAGTATGACATGGTAGCAGTTACTGAGAGGAGGCAGTAAGATGGTCAGACCTGGGAACCAGATGTATCCAGTTGTAAGAAGAGGATAAAAGATAGAAAAATGGTTAACGGTGATGAATGGCCTTAAGAGTTAGGAATCAAACCACTTCAATAGTAAGATCTAACAAGAGGTAAGCAGGAAGTGGAAGCTCTATACAAGTTAAGAAACAGTATTTAAGGCTGTAGCAGGAGATGTGTTTAGGAGCTCCAATAATAGGTGTGAAGTTGTAGCTTGTATAAATCGGATGGGCAGGTAATAAAGGCAGAATCATTTTATTGGGGTCGGGGAATGTTCGCTTCAATAGAGACTGACAACAGAGCTGCTTGACAATGTGCCGGTTAGTTTTCTACAACAATGTGTCTCAGCAGCAAAAAGAAAGGAGGAGCTAGTCATATAAAATCTAGGAATGAGTAATAAATCATATTTAGTTAATATCCTAATAGTGTGTGAATATCTAATGACTGAAATGACCAAGCACAGTACAGGTAGTTCTCCTATAAAACAATAGTTCTTGTGTGACCTCGCGCTATAGAAAATCGCATTATAGGGAAATCGCTATAGAAAATCGCTATACCTGTACAGCAGAAAGTTCACATTATCCAAACAGTGTCCACTATTCATCAATCGTATTACAGCATTAATGAAACATGCATTATAGCAGAACTACCTGTACAGTGTTTGAAAAGAAGAAACATGAAACAGCTTCTGAGGTAACAGATTTAATTGAGGCTGACTTTGATGTGACAAGACACAGACTGTCATCGGTGACCTGAACAAATCTGGGACAAAACGTTACAACCCCATTCTCCCTGTCACAAAGAAACACCCGCAGACAATGAAAGCGACAGGGCAAAACATAAAATTAAAAGAGAAAGCTTACAAAGATGCAAGAAAAGCACAGGTGAATAGGAAAGATACAAAGGCAGCAAAGTTTCACAAACAGGGGTAGTGATACTTACAAAAAGCAAATCGGAAAATAAACCTGAAGTGGCTATAAAAATCATCATATAAAATAACTAGATGCTTTGAAGATTTTCAGTTGAGAGCTTGCATGTGTTTGTAAAGGGCAAGTTATGCCTGAAAAAAACCTGATCACAAGCTTTGAAGAAGTGACTGCAGTAATCAACAGGGAAATGCCATTGAGTATTATTTTTACAGACTTCCAAGAGGCATTTCATGAAATCCTTAGTAAGAGACATTCAGTTAATGCTGAAGCTCATGGAGTTGAAGGCAATTTATTGATCTAGTTAGGAAATTGACTGAGTGGCAGGAGACAGAGAATAGGAATAATGGACAGGTACTTGAAGATGTGACGAGTGTAAGATTATAAGATCAAGCAAGTTACTGTCCATATATTCATTAATATCTTAGCTTCTGGAATAGAAAGCCACATTTTTAAAGATATGTGGTTTTGTAAACAGTGTGGATGGAACTATGAAATAACACCATTTCTTACTAGTTCATGTTATGTGGGCATCACTCGCAAAGTCAGCATTTGTTGCTCAGTCTTAATTACCTTTGAAAAGTTGGTGGTGAGCTGCCTTTTTAAACCACTACAGTTCATTCAATGTTGGAGCACTCATGATCCTGTTTCGATGCAGTCAGTGAGGGGATTGGTATGTATCCAAACCCATTCATTGTAGTCAGTGAGGAGAGCTGGGTTTATATTTACCGACAGATACAATAGTTCTTATTATCCTCACACTTGGTTGTATTCACCAAAGATTTACACAAGGATTTTCATTGAAAAGTTGAAGCATCCATCATTTGGGAATCACTTTGACCCACTCATTTAATCATTTGTACCTGCCCAGTGCTTAAACTGTTCCTTATTTGACTTATGGTTCTATCAATACCTAACTCCAACTAATAACTAGAAAAGTTATTACTGGTGCCTTGGCTTGAGAATGGAACTAGAGGCTGTTATATTCTGTCTGACACATTAGTGAAGAAGATTCATATTGAACATACAATATTAATTGTTCCTTCTCCACAGATGCTGCCAAACCAGCTGAATATACCCAGCATTTTCTGTTCTTATGTCAGAGTTCCAGCATCTGCTATATTTTCCCTTAGTTTTGGCATATTGAAAGACTGTTTTAACTCTAATCTGGAGTTATCTTTCGCCTCTGAGTCAAATTTCACATTAATTGAAACACTCGTTAGATAAATGTTTCACGTAATTATGCTTGATCCCGTTATCAGTTACATAAACATAATGAGAACACTTCTGCTCAGGGACTTCCCAATGTCTAAATGTATTAAGCCACCCACATGATCATGATTGCAGTTCCAATATGAGCTGTCCTGAGCTTAGGTATCTGATGAGAACTGTTGGTGGAAAGCAGTGACAAGATTTAGCATTTCAGGACAAGATAGCATATAGGTCTTAAAATTCACTCAAGCTCAACTGTTATTCCTTAGCTCTATGCTTACAAAACAGCACAATCCATATTAAGGTATATATGGCTTTAATCCATATTAGCATATATAAGTCTACATGTATATGTGGATATACAAGGGAGGTACAATCTAGAGTAATGTACAGGGTATTTGTAGTGCATGGAGATACCTTGCTAGTATGTGGCTGTGAAATAACAGTCTATTTTCATCCCTTCCACATTACCAAACACATGCGCACAGACACACACACACACACACACACACAAATACATAGCAACAATAACCACATTGCAGTTGCATGTGCAGTAAATATAGCAGGTCTTGTCCTGTGTGTGTGTGTGTGTGTGTGTGTGGAAATGAAAGACCTTCCCTCTTCACCTTCAATGCTTGCCCCATTAAACTGTCATTGTAGATCACAGGCCTGCAATGGAACATAAGCTTCACTCATCCCAGTTGGACTTCAGACAGATCATTTTTCCTGAAAATTAGGTCTGTAAGATTGACTTTTTGTTCCCATGGAAATGTAACAACTTCTCTGTCATTGAAGCCAAGCTGTGCATTGTGAATGGGTGTATCAATGTGTTTGTTGGCACTGAACATTGAACAACATAACAGAGAGCTGGACTTGGTCGGAGAGTGTTTGCTCCAGAAGTCGAATTTCCATCTCCAGTTACTTGGTGTTATGGACCAGACCAGACCCACTCAAAATATTTTAAGAAGGTAGCCCAGACCCTAACTTTTTCTTATTTTAAATATAGATGCGAAGTGTATGTTCCAGATGTGATACAACTGGTCAAACTACTCAATGTTAAGCAAAACCACAAATTATTTAAATACCGTAGTTAAGATACAAGCAAAAGAAAGAGGAATTTAGAATAACTTAACTATTGGAAAATTTAACCTAATAATAAATACAGTACCTATTACTAATTAACTGTTCCAATATAGCAACATCCCATAAACATACCCCTTTGCAAAAAGGTAAATTCAGACACAGATTCTTACAGGCAATGCTTCAAACCAGGAGGAACCAACATCAAGAGAGATTTCAGAGAATGTAGCAGCTATGAATCATTTTACTCAAGCACCAACTCTTCTAGGACCCAAACAGCTTCAGATTGCTACAGGTAAGAAAGAAAACTAGAAAGCTTGATCTGTGAAGGGTCACCTCCCTTCCATTGTTACAACAGTTTTGAAGAAAACCTCAAGACTTCCTCTGATTGTTGACTTAGGCTGTCTCCCATAACCACCTGGGCACCTCTGCCTTTACAACCTCACTTCAAAATGAAACCAGGGCAAAATAACCTTTTTAAAGTGACAGCATTGTCACACTTGGATAGTTTCAGTTCACTTTAGAATTAGAAATAACGTTACTGTCACATTCTCACATGAGTACAGTGAAAAGTT